CAGCAACAAGCACATCCCGCTTGACTGGTAATGGTTGAATCAGTAGACAATCTGAGTTGTTTGAATCAGAGTCACATGATAGAATTCTTGACAAGAAATCGACATGAGGAATCATTTTCGCACTACGATGAACTACTGTGTAGGTGTAAGAACTCAATGCAATAATCCACCGTTGCACCATAGCGGCAGATGACTTCGCCAGAGACTTCGTTGGATGATACAAGAACTTCAAAGCCTCGTGATCAGTAGCAATGGTAAAGTTCAATCCAAAAAGATACTTATGAAGCCGTTTGACAGCCCAATATACAGCAAGTGCTTCTCGTTGAGTCTGAGAATATCCACGTTCGGCTTTTGAAAGTCGACGGGAAATGCAGATCACTGGTCTACCACACTGTTCAAGGATTGCTCCTATTCCAGTGGGAGAAGCATCAGTAATGATCGTCGAATGATGTTTGGCGGAAAATGGCTTCAAAACAGCTGAAGTCTGAAGATAACCAAGCAGTGCACGCAACGCCTTCTCATGGTTGGAAGACCAAGAAAATTGATTGGAAGATATGATATCAAACAGACAACTTGCGTGTTTGGCGAAATTAGGAATGAAACGAGAGTAATACTGAAGTGCTCCTAGAACTGAACGCAGTTCTTGTAGATTGGTCGGTGATGGCGCATTTACTAAAGGGGATAGACGTCTTGTATCAGGTTTAAAACCGCTGCCATCCACAATGTAGCCAAGGCATGAAAATGATGGGACACCAAAAGTGCATTTTTCAGGATGAATAGCTACATTGAACTCAGAAAATCTCTTCAGTAAAGACAACAGACGCATATCATGGGTAGCTTTGTCAGCAGCGTGCACAATGACGTCATCTTGGTACGTCTCAACACCCTCCAAATCTTTTGCAATAGTATTCATAACTTGCTGAAATACAGCTGGTGAAACGTTCAGACCAAAGGGAAGAAAATTGTATCGGAATAACCCAAAGGGTGTGTTGATCACGGTAAGGTTACTGGAGGCTTCGTCCAGTGGTATTTGAAGATAAGCATCTTTTAAATCGATTTTTGAAAACACACTTGAACCTGATAAACGATACAATACATCTTCTGGCTCTTCCGTGGTGCATGTACGTTGTAGTAGCCGCGTATTTAGCGTAAGCCGGTAGTCACCACAAATTCTCGGAGTAATACCATCAGCCTTCAGTGGGGTAACGATCGGAGTTGCCCAATTCGATGACTCAACAGGAGTCAGTATTCCTTTCGCACACATTGAATTTAATGCTTGACGAACAGGCTCGCGTAAACCAAATGGAATAATCCGTCTCTTAAGAAATATAGGCTCTCCTGTAACTTCGAGCCTCATCTTGGGAATTTGCATGCCACCTGTGGCCTTAGAACATTTAAGAATCAGTTGCTTGAGTTCATTCTCATTCGCAGAAGTCAGTAAGGTGATACTGGTTTGCAGTAAGCGTAGAACTTTGAGTCCGACGATCGATGGTCCCGACGTTGATACCAAAAAATTACAATCGATACAGGTACCTTGTAGTAACCTCACAGGGATCGTGCAACTACCAACGAGAGGTACAGAATGTCCAGTGATACCGCGAATGTTAATATCTGTAGGCACTATCACGGCACTGGGGTAGAATGCAGTTAGATCTGATTGTGGAATGATGGACTCAACACTACCAGTATCAACAATAAAGCCATGCTTTTGACCAGAAGCGGATATCAACGTTTTAAAAACATGTGACGAATTTTGGGACAAAACAGATAGAGAAAGAGTAGAAATATCTTCAGATAATGTCTTCACGTCAGTGTTTGGGTCAGAAGTTAAGTGACACACTTTCTTGGACTTACAGACAAGTTGAATGTGTCCTGTTTTACCGCAGCTAAAACACTTGGCTCGTCTGTGGGGGCATGAATATCTGGAATGGTTTCGTCCACAAGACTCGCATTTCCCGAATTTTTGAGCCATCGGATTAGGGTTACGATCTGTGAAGTGACGTGTTGATGGATTTGAGGCACGAGAATCTGTTCGAGGTTTGAATTTGTTGTTCGTCCGCATCCTTGAATTATTTCTTTTAGAATAATTTAACAAGGCTGCTTCCTCAGTCTTCGTCACATGCTTCACATCTTCATACTGCTCACATATTTTCCGAATAGTTTGAAATTTCTGATCCGGACAGAGTAACAGCTTCTGCTGTAATTCGGGCAGTTGAATGCCAGCAATGAGTCTATCACGCAGCTGGTCTTCCAGTTGGGCACCATAGTCACATTTGGCTGCCTGTGTCTGCAGCTGTAACACGAAATCACGAACCGACTGAGAATGAGAGCGGGCTAACATATTGAACTTAGCTCTTTCGGCTGCTACGAAGTTAATCGGTTTGAAGTGTTGAAGAACTTTGTTTTTCAATGCAGTGTAAGAAATATCAATTGGAGATTCAGGATATACTAAATTCTTGATCAAAGTATACGCCTCCTTGCCAACGAAATGTAGGAAATATGCAGTGAGTTTCTTATCATCCATATCGGATTTTGTGAGGCACCATATGTCGAATCGTTCCAAATAATCCTCTACGTCACGCGCAGTTGAATTAACATCTAATGGTTCCATTTCGGCAGGCATGATGAATTGTTCCAATCGCGACGCCAAAATGTGGTAATTAAGTTTCGTACGTATATCGGTACAACCCGACAAACTAGAAATTCAGAATTCAGCGAAGAGTGGCAACCAGCACGTATGTATTCGAATTGGCGAATATGTACAGCATATGGAATATTAAAACAAGAGAATAAGGAATAGAGCAATGAATAGAGCATCAGTCATGTTCATCACATTTGGCTACCCAATAAGTTAGTTTACCAGGAGTGTGTGGCAAAGAAATAAAAATGATCAGGCTAGGTGGGGTATACAAAAATAAGGAGATCAGACGGAACAGACTCACTACCAATTGTTCTCTTTAAAATAGTTCGTCGTTGGCCCAGATCAGCGGATAACCAATAATTCAATCATGTTGGTCCAGAGGTCTTCTTCTGAATAGTTTCCACATATAATAGATTCCGAAGATGTCTGAAATGTTTTGCTACCAGAGTTAGTACATGAGACTCGCGAAGACCGCTGCAAGCGCGAGCGAAATCAGAAGAGAGAGACGAAGCACGTGACTATGCTTGTATTCGGTGAAATTGTACAAGTGCGTGTTTTTGTAGTTTTTCGTATTCCAACAAAAAACGATTATGCAATTGATGAAATACGTATTTTTATAATGGAAGTAAAACAAAGGTACAAAACGCCACACAATTTAGCTGCAATTTTTACCATTTTAAATTATAAGAAACTCCGTTGCAGCAAGTAAAACAAAGGTACAAAACGCCACACAATTTAGCTGCAATTTTTACCATTTTAAATTATAAGAAACTCCCGTTGCAGCAGACATTCCCTTAAATTGTGCTATACCTCCCGATTTGATGTCACCAAGCTAACACAGTTACTGTTTTTTCCTCCGAGCATGAAAATAGTTTGTACAAGTACGTAGCAAGGCGAGACTGGTGACTTATGCACAAACACTCTGGGGCCTAAGTCACACCACTCCTTGCGTATGCAAATCAAGTTGTCTACTTAGGACGCACGAAAGACGTAACCCTCATCGAGCGTGTCCAGCGAGCTGCTACAAAAATTGTTTCCACGGTCTACGAAACGCGTCTCGCGGTGCTTGATCTCCTTCCCCGGAGTATCATCGCCTCCGAGGGGACCTGTTTAAACAAGGTTTAGCCAACAGATTTTTCACCATTGACTCAGCAAACACACGGTGGGTACATGATACGAAGATTTTCAAGCTCAGAGTGCATTTATTTATTAGGCAATTTTTTCTCATTTTGGGTAGTGGCTGTTTGAAATAACCCTCCTTCACACTTCATCTAGAACACAATTCAAAGCAATATTAGACACTTATTTATGCAAGTCCTCGCGCTGACAGGCATTCTGCCCCGCATTGAGAACATAAAGAGCAGTGCTACACCCTTTTTTCACTTGTGCCTTTCAGGTGAACGTCAGCCCATGGACGACAAGAACAAAACCGACCCGGGAAATTTAGGCGAAAGCCACTATCTCGTGTATCGATCTGTGAATTCGTGTAAAACACTATTTAAAAAACGGGAGACGGTTTTCATAGAATGGTGCAAGTTCAAACGATGTTGCTTACTCTAGGGCACAGACTCTGCGTAATCAGCGATCATTTCAGCCGAGTCATTATCCACAAATAAATCATAGTCACATATTCGAAATGATAAACCAGGTTTACATTGTGTGCATTCATGTTCAAATTCCAGTATTCCTTAAAGGTTTGGTGATTCGTTGGGTGTGTACTGTGCTTAATAAAAGTTTATAAGATGGCATGTGCAGTATTAACTGTTTTCATTTATTTACAGCCAGGACTAATATCAGGAAAACTTAGCAAGTCAATTTCGCCATACGACATAGGATGTCCAGTCCGCCTATCAGTTCGACTGTTATGGTGAGCTGTAGCATAGTCTATCTCAGTAGACTAATATCACGCTTTTGTCTGGAGCGGACTTCTCTTGAATATATGACTTGTTTTCTGCGGAAAGTCATATTCGACACTTGCATACATACTTGCCTGTCGTTGTATTGACATTTTACCAGAAGTTCCAAAATTCGCTTTATTTTACTAGCAGTAATTTGCCGTCAGTTTTTTGAACCGAATAACTATCAATAAAGCATTTCTATCTGCATCTGGTCACCCAGCGCCAGCTAGATGTCCACTTTGAGTGTTTCATACTGTCACAAGTGCTAAACGGGTTAGCACATAAAATACGTAGCGTCAATAGAGCACATATATCTATGCAGTTCAATACTAAGAGCGGAAAACACAACAATATAAATGAGACGGCATAATTTCTTAAAACGCAGTGACAATCAGAAATAACAGGGCGTTCAATCAAAGTAAACAGTTTTTACGGCTCCTTTAACTGCGATAGATTTTCCTCATGTAATCAGCCTTGAGCTCAGGTATAGATGAAGCGGATACAGCTTGAAAGTGGACGTAAACGTCAGAAGGCAACAAGGTATGCGAATTCCCGTGTGGTACTAAAGATAAAAAAATGGACAAAAGGATGGTAAATAAATACGAGGTGCGCTGCTACGTAAAAAGGGGTCAGACCATAAGATGTTGATAAAAAAGAGAGTTAGTTTATAGTCCACTCGAGCAAGTGGGAAAACGGTGAATGCAAACTAGGATAGCTTTAGGGTCGACAATTTAGCGTGACTCTGAGATGACAAGGAGGTAGAAATAGGCAAACAGAACGACACGTTTCTATAAGCGTAATGACGACCATGGATACCAAACACGTTAAACACGTCACACAGGTTTTTCAATCGCTGCTACACACATAAAGGTTGCAAGTTTATGTAGACATCTGAACCGACGTTTGTCTGGCTGAAGACCTATCGCAGCCTCCACATGCCGGTTAGCGTGCATTTTGAATAAGTGTCTTTAGATCACACCAAAATGTGTTGGTTTTATATTTTGAGCAATTTTCTCAGCATTAGTTGCTTTGTCTTTTACCTTGTTCTGCACAGCGACAGCATTTCCTTGTGGGTCGTTTCTAAGATGCGATTACGTGCCAAAACAACGGTACAGTGTAGTCTCTGCGTTGTCAGTTCTGACAGTAACGTGTTGATCTACAAGCCACGTTTTGGACAAAGTCAAGGTTCTTGGAAACCCTGATTCAACAAGTTGCCCAAGCGAACCAGTGGGATCCATCGGCTCCAACAAAATCTTCGTTCACCAAATAGTGCAAGGGACGAAAACCGAATTGCAGCGAGCGGTGGTAGTGAAGCGAGCGTTGAGTTGAGTACTCTAGGACAATATATATTTCTCCATAAATACAAAATACAAAATCTACTGAAGGTGTAGAGTTAAAAGCACCGCAAGCTTGAGGTTTCTCTCTGCCATCGACTATACGGTTGAATGCACATAACTTAGCATGCCTAACTAAAGTTGTGAAGTATTCCTGTCCAGAAGCAAACAATATGAATGTCCTTGTAATAACAGCACATTAGTTCTGCTGAGGCATTTTTGTGTGAAAGAAGATAACGGACATAATGAGTGGCCTTACCAAATAGGACAAACTGCCGCCAAGCTGTTATAATATATTAAACAAAAGGCCCTTGAAAAAGTTGCAGAATGAATAACGGCACTCGAAACTTATTACAGCACTTCTTGTTTCATCCGGTAGAAAAGGCCCGGTGCAAAGTATCAGACACTTCCAAGGGCATTGAAATTAAAGTACCCGAGCACAATGTTGGTAGAATTGACTTGGTATCCTTTTTGAGTGGTAATTAACAAATAAAACAGCATGAAGCGGTAGACAGGCGATAGCCAGGCAGTTAGGTTAGGAGTATACATCAGCCTTCCTACTGGGATAAATTGAGCGCCACGTCACATTGGGCTTCTAAGCACGCGTAATGACAGTCATCTGGATCTTGATCAAAACGGTATGAAGATCCTTGGTGCACAGCTTTATAGTAGACGCAACAATGCAGGGACTGTTAAGTAGTGGACTGTGCATTTGTAGATGTTCTGATTTTCGTAAGTATTTGACGGTTTGCAACTGATAGCCAACAAGGTCTGGATTCCATCGGTACTTCAGGAATGAAATGACACAGAGGTTCTAATTCAAATGTACCAGGCATTCGGTTATCTGCTCTCTGCGCTAGATATTTTGCTTTCGCTACTGCAAGATCTATTATCAACTCTTCGGTTTAATTAAACTCTGTGTTTTGTACCCGGGAACGCAGAGTGAACCGGACATCCGAATTCAAGGTTGGGAACCACCGAGGTTCTGCAACTGGACGCATGTCTTTGTGAGTGAACTATTCCCAGACGCTTTGTTGGTAAAGACTGACAAAGACGTAGTCAAAGAGAACATTTTCATAATCCCTAAAATAAATTCATGCAAGATGTTTACGTTTTCAAAGGTATCTTCTCTCTATAAGTGTGCACTTAGTTCACTGTTTCAATTTCGATACAGGTAAGTTTGCTGAAATGAGGTCATCCATGAGATTTTCTTTCTCACTTTCTAGTCATAGGATTTGCGCTGTCCAAGGATATTAATCATACTGTACACAGGTGTTCTAATGTTTTCGTGCATATAGCCAGGAATCTTACTGTTTCACCTGGGTTATTCTTTTTGTCGCCGAGCTCTGCAGAAGACTTCCAAGCTATCAAGCACGATTCGAGATGTCACTACGCTGTTTTATGGGCGCACTTCGCTCTAGTCACATCAGAATGTACCGATCTCTACAAAAGGTGTTCAGCAGACTATTAACTTAATAGTATGCTTATAACCATCTATCCAGACGACATTTACTATGTCTTAGGCCACAGGACTTAATAAACACGCCACAGAAAGCAACAGGATTGAAGCTTTTATAGCCAATCACGTGGGAAGTATCACGTCATCTTTGTTTTGAAAGACAAGCCACATAATCCTGGGGTCACTTTGCGGCAAGTTGTCGAGGTGACAACACTAGCATTCTTCTTCCACTTTTGGGCCTGGTACGTTTAGGCGGTGCTAAGTAACATGGTTCGTCTTAATTCACTGTGGATGAGATGAGTAACCGGTTCGAGTGACATTTAAAAAACTGGTGTTTAACCATAGATAACTGATATAAATTCATCCGGTCAAGCGCGATAACCTTTGTCGGAAGGAATTTCCCTAACAGTAATGATATGTCAGTCTGAAAAAAAACCATCACTAAGAGTCCCTTAGTAAGGTATGCTTTCCGTGAAAAAAGTTTGCACTTAGTAAACACTGCAGTTACAAACTTTCCTAACATATGATCGAGCAAGTTTAAAACTGGGGTGGTCAAAATAGCGTTCCATGCTAATACAGAAGAATTTTACTGCTCACAAAAATACCCAGAAGCATTGTGGTATTAGGAACTTGCTTCTGGCTTTTTAAAAATTGGCAAAAATTAGCCATCCATAAAAAAGTATGACTGAGTAGAAAACAAAGTCGGAAACCTATTCATCACAAACTAGGGCATTGTGCTAAACGTGTTTGAAGCGTCCGTTTAGTTATGTAATGGGTTAATAACATATCTCCAGCTGAGTTTGGCATAAACAGACGCACAACCATTGCTTACCGATTTCGATTTTGCAGCTACAGGACCGTAATCACCCGATCAGCTGTTTCTTGTTTGACCTAAGAGTGAAGGCTACGGTAATGAAGGAAGCACTTTGGGGCTTGTTCCGTATTGAACTTCGACAGGAAATCTCCTTTTGAAAGTCCTGTCCATTTTAAGTGCCAACGACGTACAAAGATGAAATTACCAAAGAGCTGAAGACTTATTTTCTCACTAAATTAATCTGTTAAGACCGAACTTAGGATCATCTTGCAGGCGTTGATGGATGCTCAAAATCAGCCATTCCTATGTTTAAGGCATCTCAATCAGATAAAGTTGAGGTTCATTTATTCAGATTCAAATGCTAGTTAAAAACTGCTCTCGGTACAATAGTGCTGCTCAAGAAAATGCTTTTTACTGCAAAGATACATGAAATCCCCTAACTGCACCAAACCGAGGAACGACAAGACAGTAATATTTTTATTGTTGAGGATACGTATTTGATTGAACAGTTTGATAATGTATCATCAATGGTAGGTAGTCATGGATTTTGCCGGTTGTGCATTTTACTTTTTTATGCTTTGTAAGTTTATGCTTTATAAGTTTTGTTTTGGGATGATATCTTGAAGATATCTACAAATATGAGCAAATACGCAACAGTGCCACAAATTTGCGCTCGTTTTGGAGGCAATACTGCCTTGCAGTTGTAAAAATACTTTAGTTTTATCTAGCTTGCGGAGTCTTTCTTAGTTGCTGAGCGGCCTAAGGTTTAAGATGTTCGATATAATGGGGTGGATCCCGACACATTGGCAAGATGCACCGTAGCCCATAAGAATTTGGTTACTTAGAAAGACCATAAAACTGGTGTGATAGGTCAAGACAACTATGAAGGTACTTAGTGTGGTATGAAAAACGCATGTACACTGAGGTGTACACTGAGATGTACACTGAGGTGTGAAGTAGACTCCTAGATCAAGGTAGTCAGCGGGAAATGTGCTGGAAATGGACAAAAAACAAAATGTTCACGAATGTTTTTCATTAAAATATGTTAACCCGAGGAGCAAAACCGTCCTCTCAATTTGGTGGATTTACCACTTTACAGTTCGGTGATTTTGACCAGTTTGACCGTGCGTTTTATTCCTTTCTGTATTAAGCCTGTTGGTTGAAAGTAAAGTCTAATATATAAAAGATCGACGAAAGTGATTCTCAAGGACCATTGCTGTTTTGCTGATTTGACGCGCTGTGTATATTAACAATAGATGGGGCCTTGTTACAGAACCGCGAAAATTGCAGTGACTTACAAATGAGGATAAAGGTGAGTGTTTTTTCTACCAGTTTCTACGAAGCTGTTGTTATCAGAAATAGCCTCGGCCATTCTCTTATGCACTGGAATTACCGTCTGTCTGAGGATCATCCGAATTGTACTGCTATATCCCTTCAAGGCTGCTGCAGAGTTCATGACCATGCATAATCGATGCGACCACGCAAAAACGAAAATCAAGCAGGAACCTACCACTACCTGATTATCGCTCGTAAAAACGGACAGAGGTGCACTCCATTAAAGATCTGAAACTCTGCTCAACTTGAGGTCTTTCGGTACCTGTAACTTTATCAGTGTGAGACCTAAATGATCCATGCAGAAACGCTGAACAAATTCCAATTACTAGCTACCCGACGAATCCCATTGTTCAGTTGGCAAGCATATGGTCAACCAAAACCGGATCAATATATCCTAGGTATTTATGACAGTTTATTCTATTATAAGGAGTATTCTCATGGAAACTAGTCTGCAAGTTAAAAGACATTTTTTGTACCAACTGGACACTGATCGACTATTAGTTAGGCAAAGTGACGGACACGGTTTATTTCGTCTGCCTTCTACAAAAGGCACATGCAAATTTAATAGGTTTAAAAAATTTGGCACTCTTTCAAAGTTCTCAATTTATGAGGGTCGGGAATATCTAAAACATCGAGATTTGAGGCATAAGCCACAAGTTTGCATGATACCAATCCTGGAGGTGAGATATCATAAATAAGTGGTACGTAGAGTGAGATAGGATCAGCACCGACTAGGCATTTGGGTGATTTAGCAGTTCCTTAGAAGGCCACACCATTCTTAAAAATATGAGTGCATTTAACAGGATATATTATGTTTTGCAGAAGTTAGCAGCAAGATATGATAATGCAAAACGGTTATCATTAAGGATAGATGTTGTAACGTAGTATACAACCAAAAGTTAGCGTAAACCAGTACATTGTTGAGCCTTAAAATGGACCATGCTCCAGGGCTAGTATGTAGATCAAAAGTCATGGCCTTTCAAAAGACAGTTGAATTGCGTATCAAGCAGTCAGGATTCATAAACAGTTTATCGACTAGTAGGGCAGTGAATCGGGCGTACATGTTCAGAAGTAAAACCATACACCTTATTTCTGAATTTCTCTGGACCATTCAGTGTTGGAGTAAGCTGTACTCATGTTTGATATTAATCCCATTGTTGCAAAGTTGACCCGAGTTGGTGCATCAACGGCTGAGTCCCCAACGGTGGCGGCAGTTTTCTTAATCTTCTCCATGAGGTTATCGTCAATCGCTTTCAACTGTGGATATATTTTGTCTGCGTCGCCAGCACTATCTCCGGTGTTTGGATGTTTTACTTTCTTATCTGTCATGTCAGTAGGCTCCGGAATATTTTTCTGAAATACTGTCGCAGCTTGAAAACTGTATAAATAAAATTGAAACACTAGTAGTTGATCATATTACTTTTGAGATTAAAAACAGTTTTCGACAAAGCCTGCATAAATCGACATGCATTTCATATAGGATAGATGGATATGATATTCCAGTGTACTCCAAGTGCGAGCATTCGCGCCGGAAAGTTTGTGGACAAAATCACAGTTTCTGATTCAACTGTTTGTCAAACAGCGCTTGTAAACTAAGGAGGTATTTATCTCTGCTACCCGTTGTTTTAGTGAAGAAAACTACGGAAAGACCTGACAGAAAATGCTTGTTTTCAACTACCAGGGCACTTAATCATTCCTTACTTTTCTTGGAAGAGCCCCGCAAAAATTGCAATTATCTGTAACATTTTCGTGATAATATTCGGAAAGGTGTCATGCTAAATTTGTATACATTCCATATATTTCAAGTTAACGCTATTTATGTCTAGTTACCTGAAGCAGTAAATTTGATACGAGCTCATGCAACAATTGTCTAAACCGTTGCGTGCTCTTTTCAGGAAACTAAATGCTAGTGCAGTCGGCTTTCTTGATTTAGCTGCTAATTTTTTATTGCCAAACGCTGCTTCAAACACTACTTGGTGGTGTGCGCTCACTGTCTGACTGATCGCACAAAACCGTGGTGGTAATTTCTATAGGTCTGTGTCAAATAGGGAGTCACTGGACTCACCTTCCACACACCTTGGAGCTAATCAGCAGCAAAAAGGTTATTCAGCAATTTGGCGTACCAGAGTGTTACAACTATGGCAGCATGGTAGGCCAAATGTACTTGAACTGTTAATCTAAACAGTTGAGAATGCTTGTCGTTGGAGACAGCCAGTTGGCTTTCACCTAATAACTACTTGGCCGGGTACTCCACTTCACCAGAGTGTTACTCTTCTCGTGAAACTTGTAACTGAAAAGAACCGGTTAAAATATGCCAGAAATCGCTAGTATTGTCAGTTATTTCGGGGTGTAAATAACAAGGACCCAGGAAATGATTCCTTGAAGATACATGCCAGTGGTTTAGGTCGCAATGGGCAATTATAAGCTTCAATATAGTGAACACGGAAATGGTGTAAAACTGGCAAATCAGAATATCACAAACTTCCGAATTAAGAACGAAGTCATTGATGAAAATTCTATACCTAGAAATACAATAACACAAAATTCATCATCGTGGGTAAATTATGTTCAGAGGAGGTGCTTAAGCAGCACCCATATCATGTGCAGTCCAGTTCATGGTTCGTTGCCAATAAAATCTTCGCTTTTGTCAAGGTATTTCCTGCGAACAAACGGGATGATTCACGGTTAATCCAAAAAACCTACGTGTGCGTCATCATATGGAGCTCCCGGGTATCATCTACAAGCCGCTGCGAATTTCCGCTCCCGCCTTGTTTCAGATACTCTTCCATGCTGGAACAATAGTGCAATATAAATTCGAAATTAAACGTGATTTGGATTTTGAATATATAATAATAGTAGTAAATTTTCTTGCGTCCATATACGCACCAGAGTTTTTGAATCCAAATGCCCAATATAATCACTTAACTTCACAATCACACCAATACGCTTTCGCCTAGTACATTTCACACATGCTGTCTTGAAATTCCATGGCAAATATATTCGTCAAAGTATTTTTTGTAGTCTCTGCAAAAGGCTTTAGATAGCCCACCACCATTTTTCTCCTGTTTTGGGACCATCAGGGAGCCATGGTCCCGGGGAAACATCTATATTTAGGCTGCCCTTCAAGATAAGGGCTGATGAACGCGAATCTTGTAAGCTACACATATTACTCGGGTGCTGTCAAGTAATAGCGTCAATTAGCTGATTCCTCATTTTGCATTCCAGAAGAAAAAAGAGAGGCCATTTGACAGAAATAATGCTTAGATTCCCTAAAAACCTTACTGAAAATACAGTAGCCTTCACGCAGTGACATTCTACTATGAAGGTGTTTATTTGTGATACCCGAACCGGTGTGACAGCAAGTATATCGGGGCTATCTTCTGGGGGCTAAACTATCTGCTTAGAAGCCATTTTGTTACGTAAAAAAAGTGAAAGAACGCCAGTTGACGTAAGGTTGTCTAGCAATGAACGCTGTCTGCACCCTAGTAGTTTTTGCTTTGGATCTATTCGCAGCATCTATTATCAGCAGGGGGCGAGATGGCCCAAGTGGTTACAGCGCGAATTTACTGACCGTAAGGCCCGTGGTTCGAACCCGACCGCTGCCACTCGATTTCCCCTGTCTAGGCTTGGGCGACCTGGCAGTATGCTAGCCCTCGTGCTTCCTCCGGGTGGCATGGTAGCTAGGCACCGGAAGGGTGTTACAGCTGAACGATTATTATTTGATTATTATTATTCGCAGCACCACTGAAGCCGACAAATACCTCCCACGAATGCTTTGGCTTAATAGGAATAACATGTAGGTTACCAACTAATGTTTGGATTCAGAATGCGATAAGCGGATCGTCAAACCCCACTTCATCTAATTGCACAAATTCTTGTCGAATTACATGGCTTCCATCTTCCACCAACACAAATGGGGGAGACAGTTAAGCATCACCTGCAGACTCGAAGGTATGTGGAAAGACTGCGATTAAGCGAAGCTTTCCGTCATTTTTATTGATTTAGTGCTTTATCCAGAAACTCGCAGAGGATATTGTTTGATGAATTCCAAATAGTTGCCCATCCCAATTGTTTTTCCTATAACGAGTAATGGTGCTTGCATGTGTAGGCTCGCGAAACTTGTCGGACATGTTGGACTGGCAGTCACCATGAGTGCGACAACTGCCTACCCACACTCGAACTCAATAGGCTGAACAAGAATGACTGCCAAAGATTGTCAGCATTCACGCCTTATGAACAACAGTGACACGTCGCTCTCTAGTATATAAGTAATCGTCTGGCGTAATCAGCCGTCCAGATCAAACCTATTTGACAACCCAGTGTAACAGTTGTCTGATAATGAACAGAAGTAGAGACCTACCACTTAAAACGTCGACTCTGGAAAGCCTGGTAGCTGTGACACACGTTGTGTGACTTTATATGAATCAAGATTTGCACTACTGTGTTTGAAGAGGCGCATAAATTTGGATAAAAACCAAATATATTTTAGTCCTCCATTCCCGACTGTTTAGACAAAGCATGGCTCGCTCTCGCTACGCAGCTGTTCATTTTTATTGATTTAGTGCTTTATCCAGAAACTCGCAGAGGATATTGTTTGATGAATTCCAAATAGTTGCCCATCCCAATTGTTTTTCCTATAACGAGTAATGGTGCTTGCATGTGTAGGCTCGCGAAACTTGTCGGACATGTTGGACTGGCAGTCACCATGAGTGCGACAACTGCCTACCCACACTCGAACTCAATAGGCTGAACAAGAATGACTGCCAAAGATTGTCAGCATTCACGCCTTATGAACAACAGTGACACGTCGCTCTCTAGTATATAAGTAATCGTCTGGCGTAATCAGCCGTCCAGATCAAACCTATTTGACAACCCAGTGTAACAGTTGTCTGATAATGAACAGAAGTAGAGACCTACCACTTAAAACGTCGACTCTGGAAAGCCTGGTAGCTGTGACACACGTTGTGTGACTTTATATGAATCAAGATTTGCACTACTGTGTTTGAAGAGGCGCATAAATTTGGATAAAAACCAAATATATTTTAGTCCTCCATTCCCGACTGTTTAGACAAAGCATGGCTCGCTCTCGTTACACCAGCTGCTCATATATATATATATATATATATAAAGCTCGATATTTCCATTTGAGCAGCCGCTGGTGGATTAGAACCCTGGATGTTTGTTTGTGGCAAATACAGAAAAAAGTAAAAGCCTCCATTCATACATTGAGTTTCACTGATCACAGGATCCGATAAAAGGTTTCTGATTACGTTCATTTGGCTGAATTTTGTGCGACGTCAACATAGCATAGGTCAGTTCGCCGCCAGAAGCAATCCTATTAAATATCCGATGACGCGGCAGACCTTAGAGAGCAAATGGCAATCGCCGAGACATTGGAGGTGCACCATTAAGGGATGACCATACCCTCAGAAGTGATGTTGCATCTGCAAGATCACTGGGGCGAAATGGGGCGGTATTTAAAAAAGCCACATATGGTATTGTGCCAAAAGAAACAGCAGAAGACTTTCAAGTAGCGTACTTAATTGATACGTAACATAAACAATAGATTTAGCTTTGTCCTCTGGGTAATATTGTTGTAATTTTTAGGGGGTGTATTTGGACAAAAGTCAAGCTGTCTAACTTCGCATTTCACATGCCAAAGTCATGTTAAATAACACTACTTTTTAGCTTGTTTTCATATGAAGTGGTGTCAAAATGTTTGATTCATGAAGTGCATTGTTCTTCAATCTCCACTGTATCTAGCCTCTCTACAAACCGTGTCTTCTGTGCTAAGCGTAAAGTATGTCCTCCTGTCCAACTCTACCGACAAAACACGTTCTGAATGAGCATATCATGATTCGTTACCATTTCCAAAACTAAGATACTTAGAAGGTTATTACTGGTTTCTTCCTTAGTGAACTGAACGCTTGGATAACTTTCGTTGAAAACTCCAAGAATTTTGTCCATACCTTCGCCGGTGCTCACAATCGTAATTCTATCATTTAGCTGGAACCTGCAACAGTCCAAGGTCGTGGACAACCACAAGCATTTGGGTGCGATGAGTTGTGTAAGGAAATGTCTCGAGTGGTTTTCAATATTGCAAATGATGAACAAGGAACTACACATCTTAAAGGCATGTATTGCGTGTTAACAAGGGGAAAACAGCGGATATGAAGTCGAATTCTGCAGGTGGCAAAAGTATTGTGCTGGTTCTATTTCCTTTATCAGTTTGAAAAGAGAAAATTTAATAAAAAGAGCGGACACATCCCATATTCTTCTAGTACATGCTTATAACAAAATGACAGAACAAAAGTTTGACAGAAACTCGGGACTGTGCCTACCTGATAAGTCCCGAGAAGAGTAAAACCGATCGTGGCCTGTTGAAGATCATTCATCAACCTTGTGAGGGGTTACCTTCATGAAAATGGCATATAGTTTTTAACGGTTTCTCGAATACTGGACTCTGCTGGGTGGTAGCTGGTCCGTTTTTGATAGCTCGGCCACACCACACGGTGGTCTACTAATGCAGAAGTTTGTTTGTAACAATGCTACCGCAGATGACTACCGTGATTTATGGTTTGAATGTGAACATCGCTAGTAAGCGCAGCTTTTCGGGCAGACGACGTTAGTTTTTAAGGTCAGTTTGGCTGATAGAAGCGGAATGAGTGTGCACCTAATTAGGTACCCCAATACAATATTGGTCACAGAGTTGCAGTTTTATCGGAGGTAAATAGGTCAACTTTTCACCATGGGTTACGTGTGACACAATCCGCCTTACCGAATTCAAATTCGAGTGAATGAAGAACTAGTCTTTTTACGGACTCTCAGGACTATCTTTGTTGTCAGTCTGGTCTAGTGTCACCTCCTTCAGCCGTAAAACGACCAGTACATAACTGTCATTGCAAGTAGTCATACGGATTTCGCCAGTGACCTTTGGTCAGTGGGGAAGCTACCGGTATTTCTCAATAGAGGGCCGACGGAAGACTTCTATAATCAACTATGTATAAGCTGATTAGCCAACCAAGACTGTAACAACCCCAGATATGTTAAACCAGCAAATGATATCATTTGTCTTCCTCAAATTTACACTTGCACAAGCCGTTCACGATAAAATGGCTGCGGTTGTTGCTCACTTTGCACGGAGATCCAGTAAAATGTGTGTTGTCTTCGTAATACTATTCTGTATCCTGTTGCATAAAGCTTCGCATTTGCAGAGATCCATATTCGGCGGTGCGTGATCTGATAGATCACTTGGATCACTCGAGTGGAGGAATTGTGGCGTTCGATGAGGTCCGTCCTCACTGATCGGTTCTGTAAACAAGCTATCCGTTGCATGCTGTAGTTCCTTCTTGATTCGGAGCAACACTTCTTGAGGAAACATTTTCTCTAAATAAACAGAAGGAAAAGTTCAGTGAACATTGCAAACCTGCATTCACGAGAAGGCGGATCTGCTATCCTTTATCAAGATGAGCAGTCTGCGTCCGGTCATCACATGCATTTAAACGTTTCCGGTATCTGGTATCTAATAGATGTAGGTTTCTAGACTAACGGACCAACATTGTCCTGCATCCCCCAGAAAGCAAAGGTGATGCATCACACAAAACTTCACTGACTATTATCCACAAATTAATTCATCTCTAGTTTACTTGATGGGTTACAATATTACATCGTGATAAAATTACGAAAACGACGTCAGTGCATAAGTGAGAAGCAAGTTTTTACCGAAAAGAACAAATGAAATCCACATTTTTTGTACTGAGAATCTAATGGCATCTAAGGCAAGTAGTTATTCAAGCTTTCGGCGAGCCAATATTGGTTCGACAGGTTAACTGATCTGATAGGCAAGGGTGGTACCTAGTAATCAGTTGAAGTAATGCCAGCTTTGGTGTTATCGTCATCATCATCATCATCGACAGCATGACACCAGTGTTCAACACTGACGCTTCACTGCCGTACAACCATGATTTATTCGAAAGTCTTACTGTAAAGGACAGAATAAAGGTGGACAGGGAAGGGACTTAGTGCTAGCTCACTACAATTATTCCGAGGCCCCTACCCCTTTAGACATTCACTCAGGTAACCTGGATAGAAACTGACAACAAGAACGCCACTGACATCGGTTGGCGCAGTGGGAATTACCCGATCCCCATCCTGGAAGACGAGTAGCACCGACAGCACCCAAGAGTTGCGTAATATCATTCATACCCCTCTACCACGTCTAGGGTTGGCCACCTCTCTGGTTACGCCACTCTGAGTCGGGCATGGAAAACAGCACTCTCTTTGGTAAACGATGGTTCAGCATACGCAACACATTTCCCAACCAAAGCAGCTGTAGTGACGTTTTGGTTGTTCACTAGGTGAGTGTTGATCTGACTTTTGACCTTGGAAATTAGCTTGCAATCTAATAAGTGAGTAATTTTGCTGTACACATTCTGACACCCAAGAGGAGAAGGAAACGTGTGCACGACTGCAAGAAATTTCTCTTCCGGTGAAAGGAGAAGATAACACCGATTACCGTATTTTCGTTGGACAAGTGTTTGTGTAGTCCCTGTGAAAATTACACCTCTCAAACCAGCATAGACGAAAAGAAGCAAAAATTGGTGCTATCTCGACAATCCCAAGTAAAAATCCCGATAACATAAATAGAGTATTTATTAGCTTTCTTATTCTGTTTTTAGCTACTTAGTATACAGCGTTCAAACTCGGCTACACAGAGGAGTTTATTAGAATTGCAAAAGGGATTTGTTTGAAACTTTAGTTGATGTTAATGAGACTCAAGTTTTTTCCAAAATGAATCACTCGTATATAAGATTCCTCTAATTCTTTAACATAATTTTAAAAAGCGAATTCAACAACAGTAGAGGCATGCGTGATTGCTCAACAATAAAATCGGCATCTAGGGGCGATTCTGCAACTGAGTGCGTCGGAGTTTTTGATCCCATCAAGCCAAACTTATGAATTAAAATCAAAAGTATCAGTGACATGCAATAGAATAATGCAGGGCGTAACATTACACCGTTACAGAAGGCATAGAAAATTGTTTTCACTAAATGATTTGGGATATGTATGTGATTTGATTTGAAACAAAAAGTAAAATAAAACTGTCTATTTAAAAAATTGTGCAACAAGGCGATGGGCAAACCGTAAATTTAAAATAAATGACTGAAAGATGAACACAGGAATTCAAATCATCAGGTTACAAATCTTTGTAAAGGCTTTACAACGAAATATGACGTGCACCGTCATGAAAACTATGCTGACTTTACTAGAACTCACAGAGTTTTACCAAAATTACTTTAAAAGTAATAGATAACAAACACGGCCAAAGCTTTAGGGGCATTATACTGGATTTCTACAACTAAAGGAAAACATATGTGCTTATTTGGGCTAAAACTATGATATGGAGGCCGAAAGCACAGTGAGTAGAATAGATATTCATGGTCCAACATCTTTTCGGTCAGAATCACTTAATGATGCACCCTACAGACCACATTTAACCACAGGTAGTCGTGTTTTGTTGCATTGGCAGGGCTGCTAAAATCAAAAGGTCATCTCTACTACTAATTTGTATGAACAGACGGAAGTAGAAGGCCGGAATCCTCAGTACGTCAATAAGTGGAGGAGTGGTTTTCGTTAACTGATGGTATGGCGTGTGGGACTTCAAATCGTTTTGTATCCATCAAAACCCATGAAATATTGATTATCCGTCCATCAGGAGGAAGTTATAACGCAAAAATCATGTTTGGAGTGATACGAAATTGGTAAGTATTCTGTCGAGCGAATCTGTACTAGATGAACCTAAGACGGTCGCTGCGCATTTTCAAGTAGAGTCCCTATAACCACTTGAATATGCGTGTTTTTCTGCATGATATTCGACATCTACAACTTCTAAGGTCTTGATCACCTTGGGTTCTGGACGGTATATGTTGTGCAATACTATTGTTCCTCTGTTGGGAAGGACAAAATACAAGCAAACGAAAACCGGCCCACAGCAGTGTCACAAACCGGCCGATTGTGTCTGGTTTGGGTATCCTTAATATAAAATGTAAGTTTTACTTTGCTTGAAAAAGTGACATAGTGAGAGTTTGAACTTCTGGCAAGGGTACAGTAGAAAATCTGAACTAGAAAACTGGCTTTCAAGTCCACCTTTGCAGCGTTCTTAAATTTAGCGAACTGTTGTAAGAATATTACTGCTGTGGTTCGTAAAGCCAGTACGATATGAGCCTAATGCACTGTGAACGATTTCTTTGCATGTGAAACCAATTTGACGCATAATAAATACTTGAGTCTATATTAAAATGGTATACTGATTTGTTTTAGACGGAAAAGACCACTTCTATTTCCAAATAAATGTCTGCATGTTGCCGGAGTGATTTTGCTGACAAATCGTTGTTTCATCATGGGCTTTAATTTCCCACACTTTTAGGCACACATTGAAGTCATGATCAGCCCGTACTGGTACAAGCGCGAATGTAATATGACAGATTAGAACATAATGGACAGTAAAAATGTCAACACATTTGGTTCAATTTCACTATTACTCTTATCCCTATCCATATCTTCACTCCTCATTCTCCAATGTGGTTATCATCATCGCATCAGCATCACCTTCACTAGCACCAGTATTGTGGTCATCACTGTTGTTGTCATAAGCGTCGGCAATAAGAATCAAACTTCAGAGAGTTCACACTGCTATGCTCTTCCCGATTACTCTCTAGAGGAGGAGGTGACTGAGTGGCAGCTCCATTGGTGGGAACGGCTGTGCTCTTAGTCACCGCCGCGCTCAGTTTGAATGGAGGCAAATTTTACATTACAACATGTACTGCTATCTAAATATAATGATGCATGAGTTTAGCGTAGAATCATATGGAATGTGACCGCATTTGATTAATCAAGATCCGGCAATATAAATGATTATTTTCAACTACTTTTTGCAGACTCCAGAGGAGCGGCAGTTTTTTGACATCGTAAATGGCTGGTTCCATACAGTATTCATTGGCCACCGTATCCTTGATCTATCCAAGTGGCTAAAATAGAAAACCCCAGTAGTTTTGCGTCATAGAGTCGAAAATTACGCTAGTGTTGCCCAAAGTGCAGTCTTCGTTTTCATACAGTGAGTTACACACAAATTTAATTGTCAGTATACGGAAATTATGTTCACAAGGTTTACATCATAGCTTTTGTCTAAAAAGAACCTAAGTCAAAGCACCGAAGCCTGATATTATTGAAGTTTAACAGTGAATTCTACAAAAACAGCAGTTTCAAGTATACTTTTGGGCAGCAAAAACGATGAACTTCTAGCCTTGGAAACTTAGCCATTCATTGGAACGGACCTGATGACTTGAAGGAAAGATCTGACCGAATGGAAGTACGGTGGCTGAATCTGTATCCGTATTCATTTAAAGTTACTTTGCGTTGTTGTAAAACTGGCGGTCACAAGGTGGCTGCTGCATGGAAAGACCGAACGAAGAGCATCAGATAAAGTTAAACTAACCCGTCAGTAAAGAATTGGTAAGCACGTAGTAGTGAAGTATCATTTTACACCTTATTTCGATGAGGAGATATGTCCACACCATTGTGAAGGTGTCTGTACCAGGATTTGAAATGAACGCATAAAAACAGCAGTCATTGATATCATTTACTTGGCCAAAAATGGCTTGAACCCATTTTGTCGCAGGATTCTCCTGAGGTATCATTAGAGAAAATCTATTCAGCTTTCTTCGCGAGCACCATCAAGAACTGTTGCAAATAAGGAATGTAACGTCAATGAATTATCAAAAGATTTTGAAAAGGAAGGATGCAGGCAACACATTCCCGAAAAGATGGCTTACGTTGACCTTTAAATAATTTGGGATCTAGATTACTGGATTTTACTACTCTAGCATTTTTATATAGTGTGAACTAACCTAAATTAGATTATCTGTACTAACAAGAACAATTCTGTACTTGTTAGGCAACTATTTTATTAATCAACGGATCAGCATATTAGAAGAGGTTTAGAAAAGCGGAGTTAGGCGCTATGCTGATCATAATAATTTTTTGTACAACCTCCAGGTAAAATTTACTGGAACCAAATTTGTGGTGACTGTGGAAGACAACTCTTTGTATACTTACTTATGCACTTTGATCCTTACTTTATTCGTACTTTCGCATCTGAAGTATATTGCTTAAAACTATATGTTGGACTTGGTATAATGTAATGGCACAAATGCAAAACACAGCGACCTGGCTAGGCATGCGCAGATAATAGTATGCTGTTCATTTTCAATGCCCATCAAGTATATACGAACAAAGTTAGGTGGAAAGGGTAATTTTTATCAAATAACAGGCAGTTGCTGGGTTCCCACATCACGTCCTTGCTTTTGACTATCACATTTCACGAAGAACCTCGGTTGGTGCACTACTGAAGAGAAATTTGCACGTCCCAAACATCAGAACATTATCGATTGTGCCTTTTGTTTGGTTACAATGACTATCCGGTCCTTTAAAAGGAGTGTAAAATGGAGAAAGACACCATCCAGTAACCAGTGTCCCTAAATTTGCTGACTGTGGTAAAATGTGGTTGAAAAGTTTCATCCTTAGATTGGCCACAAACAATCATGGCTACAGTGCTGAACTTGCTGTAACTATAGTACAGTAAGATGGTGTAGAGTCAGTTTTGTACAGTAAATTTCCTGTCACATGAGTTTATCAATCGCATCTGAAATCCACTTGAACACAAATACTGCCGATTCACGTACATCAACTAAGAAATTAGCACCTTTGAAGGTGTTGTGTGCAATTTTCTCAACAGTATTTACCAATGGCAAATAAACCTTCTTGATGAATGACTGCTTATCCTTGATGAATGGGGACAAAAAAAGCGAAACATGAGTTTGCTAACTTCAACTGCCATCCGTGATAGAGTTCACGCGCACCAAATGGTACCTTACTGTAGACACTAGAGATTGATATTTAGCGGATTTCTAACAGATTTTAAATGTCCAGGCATGTGTGGAGCTGGTAGGAAGCATGAAAATGAACATATGGTACTAAAACTGGCTTTCGTGTTGGTGTCTCTAAGTGAAACATATCAAAGTTATCTGGCTAGCACAAGCCCAGCAAACACGTTTTACCGCACCATTTTTGTAAAGCATCGTCCAAAGTGCTAGGAAACGCATAGCTACAACCTGATTCTTCCCTATAAGAACATCACCTTTAAATCCATAACAACACAAAATTGGATTATTTACATTCCTGAGGCTTAAGTTTTCTTTCCATAAAACAACTAAGCAGAAAGACGTCGTCCGGATTAATTCCTCCTATAAACAAAGTAAATGCTGTCTGTATTTTTATGTTTACTCGAATTTCTTGTACATATTTCAAGAAAATACAGCAGGTGAACAAAAATTGGTTGTTCTGCTAATGTTGCATTAGTCGGGGTTCCGTGACCACATCGTAACTACAGACAGATGTAAGGCTATCTATCATTCACTGGAGTTACTCTTAGAGCCTTTTAATGAAACAAAAATGTACTAACTGACCGTACATTCAGCTTCAGATGGACAAGTCGGGAAGCACTAATAGCAAGAGCGCTAATAATATTGGTTTATATTCTTATTTTCCTTGTGACACCAAACACCAAACTGTATATCCAAAGAATATGATATCTGAACCCAATATGTAAACAACAACCATAACAGTGTTTGGTTGGTACTCAATCCAACACTTTCCAGGCCATCATGTAGTTATCTTGAGTAACACCAAAACGAACTTGTGGTAGACTAAATTTATTTCTCCACGAGTGTAGCTCCAGGCAAACAAAACTATGAAATATATCAAAGTATTGGTTTGCTCACAATTTGCGAACTTGTATGCAGATTTTAACAGAAGCAAAACGTAAACGCATGGACTGAAACGTAGATGCATGAGTGTGAAGGCAAGGTAACGCATGTAAATTGTATGGGTTTTCACCTAGAGGTCTTCTGCTAGTCGTAAAAAATAAAATAATTTATATTTTTCAATAATTCTAAATCGTTATTCTTGATAAATATTAAAAAGTTAAGGAGCGATTGAGTTTCCCATATGTAAACTGCTACAAAAGTTCAAAAAGAACGTAATTACCTACATAAAATGATAAAAATGGTTTTGAAATCGAAACAACCACATAAACACACCAGTGCCAAAACAGGATAGTGGGGTCATGGGTGTTTCTTTTATACCAACCTGAGCAGCAAATAAAAAATACCGTTTTGCTCTTACACATCTAAAGAACCAATTATGTTCTTTTAAGATGTAGAATGGGCTATTCTTTATACATTCCACGTACCGACCTACCTAGCCCATTCAGAAGAGTTGGATTGGATCTCCAAGACTTTCTTTGCTTTTGTGACATACCAAACGCTGACGATTCTCAATAGTATAAAAACAACTTTTCAGTGTTTTTCGCTTTTCAGCACAATTCGGTTCTACTATTAAGACAAAATCTCCACTAAAATGTGAAAGGTGTGGCACGCAAATCAGTATAACTACTTGAAATCTCCTCAAAACAACGACAGAGTAAAGTACCTTCACCAACCGGCCAAGTCACTCAACAGCCCTCTGGACTGTCTCACAGCAACCCACTAGATACGACATAAGAGAAGCGTAGACAACAAATCGTTCGTGGCTCCCCTTTTTGCATTTCACTAACCAGTCTATGCAGCGTTTTTCATTTGTCGCCTCTATTTTAACCATTAGATATGAACTGACCAGATGATGAGATCCCGAAAGTAGTCATGTGTTAGGCTAGCTACAAAATTAAAGTGTGTTTTGAGGATCTGAAGTATCAATTAAGCTATTTAGATCTAAAATCGAGTATATCTTCGGAGAGCACACTTAACATATCGGAGGTTTTGATAACTATGGTCTTCAGTACTCAAAATTTAGTCTGCTTTCTAATAACATTGTATAAATTGGTTTACAATCATAAACCTGGACTTTCCTCAGAATCCAAATGTCTGTGAAACAGGCTTTATCCGCTGATTCTAAGATTTTCATCGCCCACACATGCTTCACTTACAAGAATGGTATTCGTTATTTTTTCTATAGCAAAATGGCGCAGCAACAGCTGTCCACAAGGCCCCATAAAAGGATGGCGTCAGATGGCAGTGGGATGATCACTGATCAAAGAGCCTGGGATGTGACAGAGGGCAGTCTGACATATAATGAACTACGATGGCTTTAGGAAATATAAACATGGGCTTATCACACTTACATGTAGCAATACTGGCCTGATAACCTGAAGAAATATTGTGTGCCTAGGTGGGACAAATATTTTTGTCTGTGCAAGTTGTATGGGTTTAATTAAACGATTTTATACAGCATAACGTGAAAGACGCATAGAAACATCCAAGAGCTTGCTCACTAAACTTTGTAAATTACATTACGGTCTTTCTGGAAGGCACAGCTTGAAATAACGTGTTTTTATGACTTTGTTGTGAACTTTTAGGTTCAGGAGTATTGTGCCATTAAAGTTCAGCCCCACTGAACACTTCATCCGTCAGGGCAATAAAATGGGTTCGAGGCTAATTTTTAATCTTCTGCCGATGAGCTGAAAATACAGGGGGCTTCGTACGGTTTGACAGTGATCCTGCGAGTTACTTTGACCACTAGTCAGTACCTAATCATAAAATCCAATCTAGCTCTCAGCTGAAACTATGTGTCAGTATCCTCAGGTGGACAGCATGTTCTGGAAGACTTACACCATAGCAGGGGGTGCTGTTCCGCAATGAATGGTAATTAAATCTCATTAGACGAAAAATAATATTAAACCCTAAGCGATGGATTGCAACAGTCAGCATGCTACCGAAGTTCAATTAATTACCCCTCCTTTTTCTGGAAGTCTTTGTTGACACCATGGCTTTTTCGTCACATTAGTCGGATCAAGAGTGGATTTTTCAATACCTGTCTGCTTTTTGTCACAGGTAGAGTGCTTTTGACTGCAACATGCTCAACACTTGAACCCACTTTTTAAAATCAAATTGGACGCCTAATGAATCCCAACTATCATACCATTGAGTAAAGACGAATGGTTGGGTGTATTTACCCTTATACTGGTCGGTGCACTTCCAGCCGTCCCCTAGTGTATCTTAACTGTCCGACCGAACACAGACGGTAGAACCAAAGGACATTCGAACAATGTTGGTAGGTTCAGCACAGACGAAGTCTCAGCATCTGAGTCCCATCGATCCGAGTCACCAAACCATAGAAGTGTGTGTCTTCCACAGCTTTGAACTGGTTCAAACCGATGAACTCAGCATAAACTGACCGACAAATAGGGTATAACGGTACAGCCTTCAAAGTCGTTGCAGAGTGCAGCAAAACTCCGATTGTACCGGATTGTCCTGACACGGGCACAGACGAGTACACACAAAATGGCTGAGGCTGAACATCATCAACTAGCTACCACGACTTGTAGCTCAAACCAAGCATTTGAGTAATAGTAAACGGTCAACTCACTGTTTTTTTCGCAATCTGATTTGTGTTTAATGAACTAAAACGGGAAAACATATTACGAAGAATGTAAGAAAGCTTACTTCATTTCGAACAGATCGTAGCCGATCACGAATCTTCTGAAGCTTGGGGCTGTAACGCTTAGATTCGCAGGTAAATAAGTTACCTTGAACAACGCAAAAACTCCGTATAGGCCTGTCTGATTTCTTTCCCATAGGTACTGTTGTTGTTGGGCTCGCTAAAACCCTCATTAAGTGATTTGTTTACACAGCCTAAATCCTGAAAACATAAAACCATGTACAGCCTAACCTTTAAGGCAAGATTATCTTGTTTCAGATGTTTTACAGCTTTCGTACTACTTTCATAAGTTGACTTCTGATTACGAAATCGTGTGTCATCAAGATAAGAAGACAATGGTGAACATCCGTCAAAAGCGTTGATTTTGTACGCAGCTGAAGCGAATACTGTTTAAATACTAAAATATAAAAATACTTTGGCTATTTTCTTCACTGCTGAAAAACGAAGAGTTCATTGTCATGTCCACGAGATCAGAAAAATCGTTTAAATTCGCGCACTTTGAACCGTGGGTCCATCTGAATCTGGGGTTGAACTCAGTTCATCAATGACTTTTATTTCATCAGTTAGGTAGGCATTCCAATAAGCCAAAAGATCACTGGTCTCGTCAGTAACTAAGGCTTCATATACCTTGTTAAGGAAAACCCTGGGCTTTATTTCAGCCTGCGAGCGTTGGAAATGGGACAAGTTAGGCTAGGCTTCACGTGCGACTAATGCAGGACAAAAGGTCAACCAACAGCCAGCACATTTGCAGTGCTTCTGCAGCTTTGTTATGAACGTCAGTTTTCACATGTCGACTATCACGAGCTCAGTGAAGTTCTGGGAGAAATATGATTCATTGGTAGAATCGCCCTGCTCCGTTTCTTGGCACTGTCAAACTATGCAGTCCCGGGTTGCGCGTGCACAGCCAATCTGCTGGCGAAATACAGCCAGTGACCGTGAGGTAACAGAAACACTGTGGTTTCGCGCGGCGCGGTAATTGGGACCATTTCGGAATCTGGGAGCTAGTGTTATGATAAAACGAATACATACGTACATACGCACATGTCTAGGCGAGCCATCCGGTGCATGGCATGGCGACTGTTCACAGCGAGTGTCTAGGAATAAAAATACACCGATGTCATATGGTAAGTATTTGCTTCCTGATGGTTCCGCGAGTATGGAAGTAGCGCCATATGAGATCCCAGCCTACCACTGCTCCCAAGACTCGCATTTGTGAAAACGTCCCCCATTTGTAGTATTCACTCTTCATGTCGATGAAAAAGCCAAACGTTTTATATATAAGAGAAAACTGTACACTTTCCACGAAGGCCTATATAACCAGGGGTCTTATACCAATGCCACATGTGATTATTACATTTTATAGTTTCTTTCTACAAGTCACAGGTTTCCTGCCTTAAGAATGTTCATCTGTATCTAGAGATATACTTTCATTGGCGCTCACATTTAGCTTTGACCGGATAATCACCTAGAACTCATTTGAGTCTCCTGTTTACGATGTTTTAAGCAACGGAATGTGATGTATTAGACCGCCTCATGTTCAGATATTCGAGATATCGCAATACCTTTGCAGACATAATGCACTAATTATAAGATTGCTGATAACCCTCAGGCAGTAGACGACCGGCTCGCTAGGCTCATCACGTAGGCGGTGTTCCCATGTTTTCGTCATTCTTATGTTCTAATTAAACCCAGACTGCACGGAATATATTGTTTTTCAAGCAACCAATTGTGCTGCACCAGGCAGCTCACAGCCGTCGACGTCCCAACCGTTCAGCCTTGTTTTATTGAATCGCCACAAAGTATCAGGCGATTCGGTATCCAAGTGCGCCATTGGCTTGCCCTACGTACCTACATTTTGTTTTGTTCGCCATAGTGACGCGCTTCCAAGCCTTAGAAGCAAATGATAAGCCCTAGCATCATCAATATCCTGCACTTTGGAAAACTGGAAAGATTTGATCAATTTTAATTCATTTTGAACAATATTTTCAGGATAATTCTTCGTATTGCATGTAGATTTGTCTTGCATTTTATCCTCATTATGTTTCCAGTGAACAAAAATTTCGTCCAGAATCGCAGCCAGGGTTTTCTCAGAGTTTTTCTCCAGAAAGCTTTCTTCTTTGCGATTGTTTTGCGATGCTTAATACGCCCAAGCAATCATATTTTATTATGCGCCTACTTTAACGCGCACTACAAAACAAAGATACTCATATCGGGCCAAACCAAAGACGGTCCATGAACTATCCTGATGAGCAGGCAGAAGTGGTCATAATCTTCACTTCACTGCCGTTTTCTTCACCGTAGCGCACGGATAGTGGTATATTTAACCCCAGAGGACGGTGACTGCGCACTGCCTGCTGAATAACGCTTCTGTTCACCAAACTAAAATACTAAGATTTGAGCAACCATTCTAAATGCACCATGTCTTCGATTGGTCGCGCTAGTCAGGTGTATTGTCTCCGATACCGCAAAAATAGTGAATGATTACACGAAGGATTTGATAACTGCTTTTCGGAAGAGTTGCACAATATAATCCAACAAAAATATTAGACACAACACAGTACCTCTCTCGTAAGTTTGGAAATAGTCCAGGAACCCTCTCTTCGTGGCTCGATTCTTGCGATATTGGCAAAGCTATACCCCCACCAGCCTCAATAATCAGATGAGCTTCTGTGTCAGCACGAAACACGCACGTAAAAGACCTCGTTGCTTGGCAATAACTAGTATTATGGAAACACTAGTATGGAAACACGCCACAATCTAAAAAGGACATCCGATTAAAATTACCGCAGATAAATTTGACTAAGCTTGCGAGGTGACGTGAGATTCAGACAAGGCGAAGAGACCAAGTTTGCGAAAAGCCATTGAGTAAGCCTTCATTGCTCCAGCAATTCCGTCATCTTCTGCTTCAGAAAGTGTGATAATTAGCTTGTGGCAAGCCGGGTGAAACGGCAACGGCGACACGTTTGTACAAGTTCGTTAACCATCATATCAGATAAACTGTGCGCGGTATTTATAGGCGAAAAATACCCGGTAATTGAGAATACAAGGGCAAACAAAAGATGTATTTGAATCTGTAGAGGAAAAAGCCTCCCCTGTGAGGTTGCGCAAAATAGCATATTCGCCCTTGTCAATATCTCTTTGACCAATCCGCCACTGTGAGCAGGCAAGCGTCTCACAGTTTATCCGGGCTTTCAACCATTGTGTTTGTAATAGCTCCGAAAACCGGGCTATTTTTCGCAGATAAAAAAGCTGGCATCAAGAAAAGAATAGCACCTTTAGCGCCCAAACATACCAACATGCGCATTTCTGATTAACTATTTGCTCACCACCCAGGAATACCGCGAACTCGATTTGTGTTCGCGCGCTATCGCCGCTAAGTTTTTGCCGAACGGAATAAATTTAAAAAGGGCACTGTTTTTAAGGCTTCCGATTCAAGTTTAGAATTGTCTACGTTTGAAAGTGTAACCTGCCATTGATCAGTATGGCCGATTGGATTAAGTGAACAATTTTCAAGGTCATCTGTCACATCAACTCTGAAAAGGGGAAAAATTTTAAGTGTAAGTAACGTCGTAAATTCCTTACACTGGGGAAATTAGCGGATAGTTTTGGGGTTCTAGTGAGTTATGGAACCTGATGCTGGTGGAAGCCAAAATGATGCAGTTTTACTCCCATAATTGAATTTGTCCTTGTTTCCACAGGTCGACTATAAGGAAGAAGAATCGTGTTTCCGATCACGTGAATAGGTTTTCCCAGTAATCTGATACCAAACTAGTCAGCGGATTCGAAAACTTGTACTAGCTATCACGAAGGCCCCAGCTGGTAAAAATTGTTTTGGCAGGCCGAGCACCTGGTGCATCGCATGATATCAGCTTGTGAGGATTAAGGTGGACAATGCTCAACCAACTAACCATACGGAACCTAGGTCGATCTTATATGACAACTCGACAGGCCTAGCTGGCGCACACAACTAACACGCGCCTAGAGGTATACTACACTTAATCGGCTAGCAGAGGTACGCTCCGTCTACCTCCGCTGGGAAAAATCGGAGTCCAATTGGTAGGACAGGAAAGGTTAAATTTGTTGTTCGTTTGGATTAGAAAACATGCCCTGTCCGGAGGGGCATGGCCTGCTTGGTGCGCAGTGTTCATTGAGATGTTAACGTTTCGAAATGAGAGTAAGTTATATATTAGATTGTCAAAACACCACTATCCGACAGGCGACTGATAAGCCGTGAGCCGTGCTTATCCTCTGAAATGTGCACTTCGGCAGCGAAAACGTCATACAGTTTTGTTTACACAATGCCAGCTTCAACGGCACATGCACATCTCACGAGTCCTTGCAGCCAACAGCCTAATGATCATAACCAACTACGGACTGCAACTGTTCGGTTAGTGTTTTCCAATAAATGACTGCGCGGCGAAGACCTCCTTAGTTTCATTTGGTGCCGTGACCAGAATAATAATGACGATCACGTGTCCACAACCCTCCGAGGGTGAGGACGTTCGAACCTTCCCGGAAGACTTTGAGGAAATCGCGGACTTGCTGGGCTGGGCACCGACCGGGGTAAATTGGCTGCGCTGAAAAAAACCCTCCTCGGAGGCCGGGCGATGTGGGCATGGATGCGGCCCGTAGAGACCGTCGGAAAGTGGACTGGGCCGCCGCAGAGGAAGCCGTTGCAGCAGAGTCCGACACACCGGCCGACTGCCAGGAAGCTATGAGGCGGTTCAACACGACCAGGGTGGTACCTAAATGTGATCCGACCATGTTCTTCGCCAACCTGCAGTAACTGGACGGAGTGACGCGCCAGAAGTTGCTGGCTGACCGGTTCGTCGAAGGAGTGCAGCCCGCGCTTGATGCCCAGTTGCGATTTGCGAGAGCAACTAGCTAGGTGAGTTTGGAGCACACAGTGCATCTAGCATGAGAATTAGCCAAGGCCCCTCTGACCACATTGCAGTCGTGGGAGAGCAGGAATTGCTCACCGGTAGACGACCTGCCAACCGGAGTGGACGACCTCGCGAAACAGCTTGCGGCCATAAATACGGAGTCGCGCAGATGCGCTAGAACGAGCTGACGCTACAAGTGTGGCAGGCCTGATCATTAGAAGAATCAGTGACCTGGTTCCCGAACACCTGGGCATAATAAAAATTTAGATTACTTCTTTTTTCCCGGCTGCGTTGCCATTAGCGCAGTGGCAAAGGCCATTACTGAGATAGACGGGAAGAAGGAGCTATGTTTGATCGGTACAGGAGCAGGGGCAGTTCTGAGGCGGAGGGGAGCAAACTGAATACACACTGAACGATCCTGTGCTAAGGCCGTGATCTCAAGGCAGGGAATTGGTTAATTAGCCTAAACCCACGATCCAGACATCCCATCTGACAGGCAACGTGTAGTCTAATTCACCGACGGACGGTCATTAATAATTGCGGCGAAACCGGATTTTACGAAGTTCACCTGCGTTTGTTCAGTAGTCGCAATTACACAGTGGACAATATATATTGAGTTGGACTTGGGCAGGCAGTATAGATAGGTAGATCGTGGTTCTATAGGAAATTAACAGTAAATCGTGAGTAGAACTGAAGAAAAGCTTACGGCTAGATTGAACCTTGGGCAGCTAGCAGCACAGGATGGCACACGAAGTGCAGTGTGCTATCGAACAAATTAAACGAGAAAAACGTTGTTCATTTCAAGGTGAGACGAATTTTCAACAACAAGCCCAGAAATAAATGTAAATAAATCGTCTACTGGAAAACGGCTGAGGTAGAGTCAACTTTGCATAAAATAGAACACGTCAGTCTTGAGATTTCAGCAGCCACTGGAAGGGTGATGAATTATCTGAGGAATAAGGGAACAAATAATTACGTCACGTAATTAACACGGACCGTGCGCACTAGCCATGACAGTAGTGGGTGAATATTGACTGAAAATTGGCGGACTGTCCATGTACTCAATGCGTTCAGGTGGCAGGTCCATGCAGCACGCGTTCCTGATCAGCCCAGACATAGAGCAGATAATACTGGGAGCATATTTCATTAGGGATGCGGCTTCCGTGATAGACCTAAGGCGGGAAAAGCTGGTGAAAAGGTACGGCGCAATCAAGCTTGAAGGCTATTCAAGCGCCGTCCTGAGTGAGCTGCGTCTCCGAAATCTTCCGTCTTGTAACATCCCGTCAATACGGTCCGTGGTCGAGGAATATTACAAACTGTACACGGTCACTGAGGATCCATTTGGCTTCTGCTCCTGGATTGAAAACGAAATTACCCTGTCGTCAGAACGCTTTGACCTTCCGGCCCCCGTCCGTTGCCGCTCTATCCAGCAGAGAAGGCCCATAAACAGATTCAAGAGATATTGAAGAATGGCATAATCGAAGAAGTCATTAATGCGTACAACCCTCCGGTTGTGCTTGTGAAGAGGGCTGATGGAAAATGCGAGTTTGGAGTGGATTTTCGGAGCTTGAATGAACTGACCTCAAACTGGGTTGTAGTTGTGCCATCGGGTCGAGGCGGAGGACCGGGAGTAAACGGCGTTTATGGTTGGGAACACCCAATATCAATTCAAAAGATTGTCCAGGGTACCATTCACATTCCGGCGCTTGATCCTCCCTTTAACGAAGGAAGGATCCAGAATGCTGCCTTGTACCGAGACGATATCGTTGTGTACATTAATCCGGAACCAGAGCACGCAGTTCACTTGAAGGCTGTACTGGAGCGGATCTAGGAGACTGGCCTGCGGATAAATGAATCCAAGACACAGCTCGCGCGGAGTTTTGTGACACTGCTGAGGCATCAAATGGGCCAATGAGAAGTTAGCTCACTACCAGAAAAATTAGCAAAGATCAAGGATTGTGCTGGTCCCAATCCAAAGCAGCCAGAACGGCAGTTTCTTCGAACTGGCGGCATACTACAGCCGGTTAGTTAAGGATTTCAACACTATGGCTGCGCCACTGTACGACTTGCCAGGACAGACTCAGAAATTCGAATGGATCAGAGAAGCACATGAGGCTTTTGAGCATTTCAAAGCGCGGATGTTTGATCACCAACTGACCCTTTAACTGCCCAGAGTTGGAGAGATGCTCACTGTTGCAACGGAAGCTAGTGGTCGCGAAATCGGTGCATTCCGAAAGCAGAGGAATGGAATTATCGAATATGCCAGTCGTATCCTGAGTAACGCTGAATAGAAGTACTCCACCACTGAGAAAGAATGTTTAGCAGTTGTCTGGGTCCTGGATAAGTGGAGGCCATATATGCTTGGACACAGATTTCGTGCCGATACCGACCATAAGCCACTGGAGTGGATCAGGACCACCACTCGCGCAAAGCTTGCGCACTTGGAATTCCGGTTGCGAGAGTACGACTTCACAATCCAGCAATAGCCGGGGAAGGAGACCCAATGGGCTGATTGGCTGTCAACCCAGAGGCCGAGGATGAGGTTCCCAGGATCATGAATGAAGCCAATGGCCTCGTCGTCGAACTGAATCCCGGAAGGTTGGCGCGACTACATCGGTAGGATTCCGTGTTATGAAAGGTGGCAGCCACCTTGTTGGACGGAAGGAGCATTGAAACTGGAGAGGGAGATAAGGAATTGGAAACGTTCGAGTCACTTTGATTGGCTGAGGCTGAATGAAGATGGCATAATTTCCTGAAACGCCACCGATTCGGATGTTGTGTTGCCCGTGAAACCTTTCGTCTTGAGACGGAAGCTTATCGTCGAATGCCATGAGATGACACCAGGACGCACGACTCACTTCGGCAGAGGGCCTATTAGCCCGGGATTAGAAGTGGGGTAATGGATTATGTGCTGTCTTGTAAACGGTGCCAACTGATGAAAGGGGACACGACAGGAGCAACCCATCCCATGGAAAAAATTCCTGTCTTAGAAACCGGCGAGTTGTGGTCCGTTGACATCATGGGCCCCTTTCCGGTGACAACCAGCGGGAATCAATACATCGTGATAATGACAGAACACCGGTCGTGGTGGATCGAGGCGGAAGCCGTGCTTATTCACTGGGCAACGACGATCAGCGGAGTGGTAATGCATCACATCGTGGCCAACCATGGGGTGCCAAAAATAATTCTAACCGATCAGTGGCCTTGCTTCGTGGGCGAAGAGTTTAGTAATTGCTTGCAGAAGCTGGGTGTCGAACGGCTAAGGACGGCACCATAATACCCACAAACCAATGGCCTAACCGAAAGTAATAAACGAAAGATCAAGGAGTGGCTGGCGGCCGAAGGAGGTGACTGGGAAGTGAACTTGACAATGGTGTTGCTAGCTCATTATGCTTCCATACAATCAACCACAGGCAAGTCCCCGTTTATGCTGATATACGGTCGACATCTGCACCTTCCGGTCGATCGGGAAATATGGTTATAGTTGGCAATACGGTTGTCTCCAGAGCAGCTAGAGGAAGAAGAAAGAAGAGCTCGAGAAAACTTGACCGCCGTTCAGGAATGGACTAGGCATAAAACGGCAAGTCGAAAGGCACGAACATTCCCCATGGGCACGAAGGTCAAGTGGAAGGATCACCAGAATCCTGGAAGGAGTGGACTGGGGTCGCGGAATCTAGGCGGTCGATGTCAAGGGCCGTTCGCCTTCACCAACCGCCGGGGAACGTCTATACAATTCAATATGTTCGGAGATCGAAAAGAATAAATGGGACGCAGCTTCGTAACTGGCATGATACATTCGAAGGGTGGTCAAGTAGACCCTGTGCCGAAGGTGACCTGACGGAAAGAAGTGAAGATTTGTGGCATGCGAAGGACCTTTAAACGGGAAAGGTGTGCAACGGTGATACTAGTGATAGGGGAGGCATGCGAGTATTACGTTTTCTCGTAAATCCGCTTTGCGCCTCTTGGAAAGTGAGATCTATTACGGAATTTGCGGAGTCTCTTTGTAGCGTGCTTGGATTTGCGCAACAGTCAATGAATATCCAGAAAAGGTCAGGAACACTCCTTCAAAGAGAGGATGAATATTCAGTTTTTGTAAACAAGATGCATATGGGAGTTTTGCTTCCTTGTCCAATAGTCTTTAATCGTTCATATAGCATTTTCTGCTAAATAACTCCGCAGCAAAGGCTTTCTTCATTTCACTGGTAGCATCCCACAAAGGCATCATGTTTCTACAGTGAGTTTCTAAGGCAATGAATTGAAGGGTGATGCCATTTGATAAAAAAAACTGCATTTGGCTAGTGCAACTCTTTCCGGTCAAGTCAAGTGTGAGATACGAAAGTACAATACTCGTGACGAACTTCGAAGGACGGCACAGATGTATGTAGTTGGCGCTTACAGTAACCTGGCTTTTAAAAATGATCCAGAGCATCGAGTGCGCTTCCTCCATACAGTTGCTGCTTGCCAAGCGTATTCTTCACCAGCCCAAGAGGTCGAACAATCATGAAGTGAAAGGTGTAAAATTGCTGGAAGTATTCCAACCAGCTATGATAAGGAACCATTATGGCGTTTAAAATGAAACCAAAAATGTTGGATCAACCGGTCGGATTCACTCGCAAAACAAACGCTAGATTTTCTGAAGGAATTTGACATGCACAGGTGGTAGTATACAGCAACTTACCACCATGGATTGTCTAAATTTCTGATGGTCAGTGCTGAGAGATTTCCGTCAGTTATTTACGTAGTAAACTTGAGTATGCTGTGTGGCAGGAACAAACAACAAACTGTATTTAAACATGCTTACATTAAGCACCGCATTCTAGTTTGGATACAACAAGCGCTACAACCCAATGTATCATGACCAGGTAATATTAATGCTTAAAGCTTATCAGAAGACATTACTGGAATATGAGCCTCCAATTTCGCTTGGAAACCTTTTGTCTGTAACAACTGCCATAAAACTGTAACCACAAAAAATGCAGCATGGCTTTTGCATATTTTGTGTGAATCGATGACCCTGCAATCGAACGTTGGAGGATTAATTATCCATTAGATGATAGTGAAGAATAATTTGCAGAATAGCTGATATGAAGTTGAGGCTAAGGAGAAGGGAAAGCAAACTTACTGTCATAAGCATCCGCTACGAATTAATAAATCATTTGCATACGGTCAATCAAGCTTTTGATCAAACAATATTCCAGTCGGTGCCAAAATGCCTTGGTGAAAAACTCGTACAGCATTGAGTAATTGTAGGTAACTGTGTGTATGCAGAACGAATTATTTTCACCATTTGGCAAAATGCCTGCGTTTATAAATTAGACAGCGTGGACTAGACAGTATAGTAGAATGTTTGATAACTAATAGCCCTTGTTTGGCAATAGAGCATTCACTATATGCTCAGTGACAGAAAGTTCACTTTGATCAATACTACTGCTTTAAAAATAGTAATTTTGTGCTTGCAAGGGCAAAACAAACAAAAGTATATAATTTTAATATCTCATTCTATATAAGGATTTCAGCTTGTACTGCGACTTCATGACATCTTGCAATTCCAGTTTAACCAAGTCATGATTTATTATTGAAACACCCTGGGTTTCAGTTCATGGTGTTTCTCATTACGGTTTGGTAAATTATCAAGGATAGTGACGTTTGTTACATGGAGTACAAGGCTACAAATCTTATCTGGCAACTAAATACTGGATTTGGATTCAAAAACATGATTATGATAATAGATTTTATCACTTCAAGTTATCATATGGGAAAATTTCTAATTTCGCATGCCGAGAATCAAACCTCTGATTATTCTTGGCGTCAAAGTTGCCTAGGATACTTCTCTTGTAAGTTTTACGGTTCAAGAAGCTAACACTTCGGTTCATATCGGAATTTAGTTTTATCGACGGTATTATCGCAGTCCTATTTGGGATATTCCTGTTTCCCCTATTTCAGTTAAGAGATCTATCTTCTGCCGCGGCTATATTTACCCATTTTTAATGCTCCACCTTCTAAATCTGATTAGTTTTCCATTGTTAAGCGTTTTTTTCTTGTCAGAATGAATACGATGAAATTGGGCTACAAAACTAGACAATATACCCTATGTTACTCAGAAACAATCACATTGAGTGGGCAAAATTAGAAATAAAGCAAACGTTCAAAATATAACTTTTTAAAAGTTTAGATCAGATGAAAGCTGCGCTACACAACATTCGCTGATGGCAAAGTTATTTTGTGTTTTCACCAAAGCGTCAAATATTACAAATCGAAGCAAAGGCTTTTGAAGGCGGTTTTCTTTGCAGTTCTTTTTATACATTTTCTCATGTTGCATGATTGGTCCTGATTGCCAAATCAGTAGAGTTTTCCGACTGGAAGTGGAGAATGGCTTGTGTGCAGCAGCGTTCAAAGTTACGCACAAGTTAAGGCAGGTAAAGGAAAGCCTGATGCAGGATAAGCGCTTACCAGCTCACAAAAGAAGCTTCACGTAAAATTTTGGGATGCATTTGAGTGTGATATAAAGTGAAAGACATTCGAGACAACTACCCAACAAAAAATTACGGCACACTCACGGTCCAAAGATAAATTAGAGCGATTGTAAACATAACTGTTTACGGACTTTGATTCCATAGTTTGTAGGTGATGTTGAAATGTTGCTGTGCAAACACAAGGCAGCTTGAAAAGTTCATCAAAAGTATCAAAATGCCTGAAAACGATGTAATTTACTAGCTTGCCGTTGGTGGTTTTGGAATAAAGGCAAAGAAGTTCTAACAGACAAACTAAACTACTTTTTACTCCGGAAAAATCAAGTTAAAACATATCCGTGAAGGATAAAAAATAAGAAATTCGAAAAGCCAATTTGGTCAGAATAGAAGCTTCCCGTTTGGCTGCTGCAGTGTGAGGAAGAATTCGGCTGTGGAGAATGAGTGATTTCTGGAAGCAACCTGTTTTTCTGGGTGGGCAACAGGTTAGAACCTTCGGTCTATGTCTGTCTTTTAGGATGAGCCATTCGATTAAGCGTTGCAGACACATTTACAGTAGAGTCTGGGGTATTGAACGAGAGTTGACTGGTCAGAGGAGTTAGTGGACGTTGAATTCTGAGATACAATTTGGTGAAAACCTTTTACAAAACTAAGATCGAGGTGAGTACGAAGTACGGTAAGGTGCTTAACTAGATATTTCTGGCCGAGCATCGCTTAACCTTCAAGGCGAATTTCCGTAACGGTTTAGCTATCAAGAGTGGAATTAAGACTAACCGACACCATCGCAGAGCAGTTTTGGATCGCCAAGGATCACCGCAAGGAACAGTTGGGGCAAACGTTGGTAAGACCTGTCATTAAAATCAATCAACCATGGCTTTTGCCACCACCGAATTGGGGATAAGCATAATTCAAAACGATGCGCACCGAATTAAGAAAATAAAAATATACTTTTCGTCAAATCTATCGAAGCGCGTTGCTATTTGATCAACGCCAGTGGTTGTGTGAATAAGTAGGTTGGTTTGACGTAGCCTGACGTATGAACGGATTTCATTTAATTGGTTTTCAGCTTCATTCTGCACATCCTTGGACGTAATGCTTTGTAGTTGAAGGCGTAGAAAACGAATGTCTGATAGAAACAAAATGCTTTTGTCTATCTGTTTCTGAGCCTTAGGAAGAATCTCGAAATCCATTCGTTTTCTCATTGTCTGCTGTTTGAAGTAACTTAATATTGTAATCGGCATAAATACTCTGCTTTATTTTCTCATAAATTGCCGTAGTTGAATTAATTTGCGAATTTCTGCATTTGTATGATGTTCCAGACAGAAAAAAGGAAACGCGCCAGTCACGCAACGATCATCCTGTATGATTTGATAGCGGAAGAGCGTTGGATAATTTTACTTTAATTCAAATGCATTAGTTTTGTTCTCATAGATTTTTCGTCGAAATCGTTAGTGAATAATTAATCAATGTTGAGATGGAGCAGGTGATTGTTGGTAGGAGCGAAATGTTAGGTTTATTTCAAGAGCGTTTGTTTTGCGATTAAATTCAGATGAAGCATGCTACAAGCATGTTCATTTTCTTTTTACGTTTAAAATAATTTGGTCAGGAATTGTACGTTTAGAATAGCAAGTATATGTGGTACAGATAAAATGGTAATTATGGCAAATTACTGGCCAGTATTTTAGTGGAAAACTTAGGCCTCAGATTAGTTAGGTCAACGTTTTAAAGTACGTTTGACTGTAACCTTTTGGATCAGAAGG